ATATAAAAAGCTATTTTAAAATGTAATCATGTGACTTGATGTCTCCATATATCAAGTTATTCTGTATTTTATGTTGCTTATCCTCTTATAATTGTTTTATTATGAGCTTCATCTGCATTGCTTGTTTTATTTTCTTTAATCTTGATTTTATCCTTGTATCAGTTGATGCCTTCTCTCCCTGTAGTTTCTTGTAAAGCTAAAAAGCTTGAAAGCTTTTTAGAATATTTGTTGAAATGGGGGGAATACCTTAAAAAGCAGAGAAGAGGCCCTAGTCCTAAGTATTCCTCTCTTAAGTGACGACAGAGTAAGCATTCTAATGGTCTAAACCTTTCATAGTATCTTTAAGGCAAGTAAAAAATTACACCACTTGATTAGAGACACTATAATTGTATACTGTAAGGAATACCTTTCTTGTACCTTCCTAACTTTTAGACTCAAGAACTACTTATACTGAGTCCTACAATCGTTCTTTTTATTTTTCCCTTAAAATAACTCAAAAATATTATTAATGGATAACAAAAAATCATTCCTGATAGAGGAGGATATTTAAGAGACTATTTGACAAGGGATGCTAATCTCTAGCGAAGAGGACAGAGTACAAATACAGGAAAATGTGGACTTTCCAGAGATGCTCAATGTCCGCATAACTTTGCTTCCATTCAGACTAACCATGTTAACTTCAGAAAGAGGAGAATCAGGTCAATAGTGAGTGTGTCTGGATCTAGAATATCTGCAGAAATCCATGTGGTTTAAATAGCAGTTAGCACTGCTTTCAAAAGCAAAGTAAGAACCAGACCTTTATAAATTTTCCTTGGCCTAGTTGATGACTAACTCATCAAAGTGGCTATTTATACCTTTGGAGTTACATAGATGGCCCTAGTTTAATCTCACCCATTGTCTGTGTAGTTATACCATAGAAGAACATGGTGCTTAATTTTTAAATAAAGTTTATATTTTTTTGCTGTGTTCTTTTCCTTTTGAAATTCAACTTCTGTGTGAACTTAAAGGTAAAAGAGAAAGGCTATAGGCCTTGCTAAGCCTATAGCACCAGCTATATTCTAGGATTTGCAACAGTGATATAGTATTAAAAGTCACCTGTGAGTGAAGACAAAAAGGTTTGGAATTAAAGAATATCTCTGATGTTGGAATATGATTATAGAAACACTTATGATTATAAAATATTAACTAAATATTTCCAAAAATTAGATAACATAAAAGTTCCAAGACAGCATAAAAAGGAGAAAAAGGAGGTAGGAAAGAAGTGGGGGAGATAGAGCTTATGAAAAATGGAGTAATGACACAGTGGACTGAAGCTCAGTCAACTGCATATTGGCTATCTTTAACTTAACCTACAACAATCTGAGTTCTACCATACAAAGAAGATTTGAAGATCAGGGCTCAGTTAAACTAAACACAACTTCCTAGTGCTTTTTAATACGAATAATAAAAAAAATTCTAGTAAGAAACACAAATTATATAAGAAATGTCTTCCTTCTCCTGAATGTTTTGAATTTTCATGTCTGGAAGCTTACAGTCTTTTAACCAAAAAAGAACAAATTTTAACCAAAATTTCTGGTCTCCAAAGAATCATCCTGTTTTTCCATGGGAAATATTTTTTTCTTTTCCAACCAAATTCAGTAAGCAGGATGCTCGGAGGCCTTGCAGAATCTCTTTCTGTGGAGTTGTTCAGGACTTAAGTAGAAAAAGTCCTGAGCAACCCTAGTCAGCCATGCTCAAGCAGTGGCTTGGCCCAGAGATCCCTTCCAGCCTAAGGTTTCCTATGGTGCTGATCAAGCCTCTTGTCACACTAAGCTTGTACTGCTCTGCAGTCTAGCAAGAATGGCATTACTGACCAGAAGAAAATCTGTTTCGCTATGTATATCCTCCTTAGGGAATCAGTTTGAAATGGCCGATGTATTTGAACATGGGTAGCTTGGCAGTAGTATTGTAATAACTCTATGTGCACTGATGCCCTAACGTGAAATCGAAACGCATATTCCATTTTTATGTTTGCAGAGCATTTATTTCATTGTCTTCTCCTTTGCTTCCTCTGTCATTTTTAATTTCTTCATGAACTAGACATCACTTTTTAGCAGATTGTTTGGGCCAATAAATTCCATGTTGCATTGATTTTTGTTTGTGTGTTCAAATAATGTGAAATTGACCTTACTTCTGCAAAGTTTTTAATGAGCCAAGCCTGAAAAGTCAATTAAAAAAGAAGGATGAGCCTCTTCTCAAGGAAACCATTAAAAGCTAAAGGACGCTGTTTCTAAATACTCATCTAACATCATTTAGCAGATTCCTTTCACTGAAGAGTTTTGTTGTTGTTGTTGTTGTTTTTGTAATCAGGGTGTTGCTTTTGATATTCAGGTATTTTGATTAACTTCTTCGTCTGTAGATTAGGAGACTGTGCCATTTCATTCAATTCTTCCCTCATCCATATTTGTTTTTCCTATCCTGTTTTCTATTGGTAACACTGATAAGATTACATTAGAAAATCCTGGAGAAAAAAAATGTATCTTTACAAAAAACATCTTTGTAAGATTACATTAGAAAATCCTGGGGAAAAAAAATGTATCTTTACAAAAACATCTTTACAAAATGTATCTTTACAAAAAACATCTTTATTTGTATTTACATTAACTGTTTGTAATATTTTCTTATTTGACCAAAAATGTAACATATAAGAAAGCCAATTCAGTGAAATTTTTTCTTTGTGAAATACAATATCCATAAGGCTACCATTTTTAGTAAGGCTCCAATTAACATGTCCTGGAGAGTGCATACAAGCTTCCTGCTAAGCTTTCATCACTAAATTTAGGGACAATTTCTAATCAGTTTCCTCCATTATTAGATATTAATGATGTGTCAGGGCCATCAGAACCACAGTTTCCTGCTGTATGTTGAGCTGATTAGGAGCCTTATGCTGGTGGCTTGTTTGACTTTGACAAAGCCATGTGACAAAATGACATAACCTTGGCTTTGCGGGAGAGTTTTTTCAGGAAATGTTTTAGAGCAGCAGGGATTTACTCTTAATAAAGTCTCATGAGGAAGTAAGGAGAGCAAGATTTACAGAATGTACATATAAAGAAAGAAATCATTAGGGACAGAATCTATAGAGGTCAGCAGCTGAACTGGCTGTCTCTGGTTCATGTCTTTTGTGGGGATTTGTTGCTGTTGTGTTATTTCATAGTGAAATATCTTGCAGCAAAAAGACAGCAGGATTTCTTTTCAAGTTTTTGATACTGGGAAGTCACTTGTTTCACAGAGAGAATCAGAGTCACAGAATCAGAGAATGCTTAGGGTTGGAAGGAACCTCTAGAGATCATCTAGTCCAACCCCCAGCAGGGACACCTAGAACATGTGGCTTCATTATGTTATATTCTAAATCCACTTTTTCCTCTAGCTCAATAGCAATCTGTGATAGTTTCTGAGGTCTCTAAGACTCCTTTTGTTTTTTTAAAAAAAGGTTATCATCACCATGACTATTTGCTTTGTTTGTTTGTTTTTTTACCCTGTGCTAAAGAGAATCACATACATATATCGACTTTTGGAGCTTTCATTTCTGTCACACATCACAAAATAGTAAAAATGCCATTCTAAGCATATGAACATGCAATAGCTGTTTCAGTAATTTCAGCATTCATCACAACAGAGAAAAAAGAGCCAAACTGATATCAAAAATGTAAATGCCTATCCATATAGTCACTGAAGCAGCCAGGTAAGCCATACCACATTTAAGAACAGCCAATAAACTGTACAAGAATTAAGGCATGTAGCATTGAATATAGTTTCTAAAAGTTTCTAATAGTTTCTAAAAGACTGCAAAGCCATCCTTAAACCCAACTTAACTCTTTCTTGTCTTTTTTTCCCCAATATTTACATGTCCCTTTTCTCATATCCAGTACCCCTTCACACATTTCCAAGCATTAAAATGTTCCTTTGAACATAAACTGTATTAGTTGTCCCAGTCAGTGATCAGTGAGGTTTTCATGAGTTGTACTGGGTGAAATTTGCTGAGAATTCCAGACTTCCATCACCTTCCTGTATTAATTTGTGATTATCTCTGCTCAAAAATATGGCTTCTGCTGACTCTGATGTAGCATTCTGAGAGAGTATTATTTCCCTGTCACCAGCACAAATAGAGAACGTTTTCTCCCCTTCCTCTCTTTACTGTTTTCTGTTCATTGCCAGAGAGGCCCCTGTGAGCTGACAGCTCTCTGATAAAGACTCTGCAAAAGGCTCCACATCCCTATCCATACAGAAGACGACTGTCATGTTGAGAAATAGTAGGGATTGCCTTGCTTCCACAGCCATGGTCTCCAGCCTTCATCAGCTCCTGGGAAGCAAATCTGTACAATACCTGTGTTGTGCTTGGCATCAGATTTTCTTACTCCCATTGGCTTCAGCTCTGATGTTCAAGTTTCATGTCGTTAAGAGAAGAGCTGGAGGAATGGGAGTTGGAGACCGTGATTCTGTAGCTGGTGGACTGTGTTGTTTTTCCACGTGAATAATGATGAGACCACACCATGATACAAACTTTTCTTGAGTGCCAGATATTTCTCTATTATATGACTCAGAAAGAGACTTTCTATGACAGTTTGCGTGCAGGAAATTAGGTCAATTGACAGAATCAGATTCAAACTTGATATTTTGGATTCAGCTAAGTTTCAGGACTGAACTTCCAAACCAGATGTACATACCAACCTCATTGGCACCCCACACTTGAGTAAGTCCTAAGGGTGTGACAGCTTCCCTCCATGCCTTCCTTTCCATGTGACAAAAATGCATGGATGGCCAAAAGAGAGACACAGCACAACCATATCTCCCTGAAGGAAAACAAGTCAAAACACAAACAGAAGTATGTCTACTTGAGGAAGAAGCAGGAGGTGAGGGGGTGATGCAAGAAAAGTACATATATTGACCTCCTACATTACTTTTCCCCCCTTTTTTATTTCAAAAAATTAAGCCCCAGTGGCTGTTTTGTTTTTCTGTTACAGTCATCACTAATAAACAGCGACATCATCTTTGTGAAGCTGCATGCCCCTTGGGAGGTCCTGGGCAAATATGCAGAACTAATGAATGTAAGAATGCCATTCAGGTAGGTGTAGATGTATTTTGTCTTAACCTCTGAAGTCAAACTTTACTGTAAAGATAATGCAAAAAAAATCAAAAAAAAATCACCAGAATGCACACAGATAATCTCTTCTTTGAGATACCAGACATTTAGAAAATATAAGTGGAATACCATAGATACTGTATTCATTGATGTTTCTTGTTAATGCCTGTAATTTCAATACAATATTGGTATGAAATTAAGGTAAGCTGTAGCAGTGTAGCTGTTTTCATGGGGTATTCTATTCTTAGGCCCTTTAACCCCTTCACTGCTGGAGCCCCCTGCATACTTGTGCGCTGCTGTTTTTTAAATGGACATTTCATTGAAATCAATGGGAGGTCGAGAAGATCCAGGTACGTAAGGCAGCACAGAAGGTGCATGTCTGTTGGACGTATCTGGTATGTTCAGCACCTGTAAATTATCTGCTTGTATAGTGTGTAATTGGGGAAACACAGATAATAAATAAGTATCCCATCAAACACAAGAACTGAATTCAGACTGTAAATGCTTTTTGAAACATAAATTTTATTAAATGCTATTGATGACCAAATTAGTTTCACATCATCCTTAAGGTTATTTTTATCATTTATTTAATATTAGTTGCATGTTGCACTATGCTACTTGAATGCAAAATATTAGTCTTACTCTACTGGTTATCAGAACTGTTAAAATAGCATGAAGACTTCCATTTGAACAGACCAAAACCACTGAACTGAGAGATCTTGATTCTTCTTTCAATTAGCAGGGTTTATTGATGAATAACTCCATTGATTTTAATGGAATTACTCCTGAGCAAGGAAAGGATCAGACCCAGAATATTCACCTACTGAGCTGGTGTCCTTTGTAGGATTTCTACTGCTGTTTTCTTCTCACTTAAAGATGAAAAATGCCTCTTCTGTGAGACAAGCTGTGGTCTTATAGAACTTGATAGGAAAATCGGGTATGAACTAAGGACAAAATTGCAGGCTTATGCTGTATGTATTTTGTGGGTTTTTTTTTTCTTATTTTTTACAGCAAAGCTTCACATCTGCAGAGAGTTATTATTACTGTGTAGTTTAGAGGAAACCATGGCAATTTATGGATGTCTGCTGGGGAGGTTCTTCCTTAAATTTTGCTTTAAGAGTAACAGTAGAGTCTACCATTTAAAAATTAGGACCAACATTTTACAAAATGTTCACTATTTTAGGCTGCCTACTTTCAAGTGCCCTTGTTTCAAGTATCCTTACTTTAAGGGCAGCTGATTGCGTACAACTCTCAATACTTTCATTTGGAGTTTTCTGGGGTCCAAATAGCAGTGAAAAATCATGCTGCTTCAAAGCAGTGTTCCCAGAACAGTGAATAGCAGTGAACATTTGAAGCAGGATGAAGACAAGGACAGCATCTTCAGAAACACTTAGTTTTGACTCTCCTCTGCTCCTGTTAAATGGAATGAGACAAAAGAGGAGTTTGCCAAAGGAGACTTTGAGCAGAATGAAATTATTTGGAAAATTTTACTTCACCAGCTCAATATGGACACTAAGAACTTTCAGAATATATGTTCTTTAAATCTTAAGTTAAAAATTAAGTTGAAAATTAAGAAGAGTAATCCGTCCTTTGTTTTTCTTTAGTTTAAAGCATCATTGCTGTTTTGCTTTAGAAAGTTCTCTATCATGATTGCATCATATGCAATGACAGCATACTTGCATCGCATTAAATATTCACAAATATTCAGAAAGACATATGCAGTTTGAGCCCTTCATTCTACAGAAGTGGCACAGAACAGTATTCTGAACACACCTTGAGTTAACGACAGCCTGCAGTGAATGACACAGTCAGACCCTTGAGCAGGGAGCTGGAGTTTTGTCAGTCATTCAAATCTTGCAGCAGAGTCCCAAGCCCACACAGAACTGGCCTTAGATTTCCTTAACTCTCTCCGCAATCTGATTCCCCTGCAGAAGGTGATGGGCTGATGGGCCTGACCCTGGTAATTGTGATAGAAGAGGGGACAGGAGGTGGACATCCTGTGCAGCACCTACATGGGATGCCTAGGGGGATGTTCCCCCATCCTGGGTGATGTGGACCCTGTGGAGACCATTGGGGAGTAGGCAACAGCATGTGATTGGCATGTCTCTGCTCACTCACACTTATGGGCTCGCTGGTTCCCCACGTGCACTCCCTCCCACATATCTTATCACATTCATATGGCACTGGGAAAAGAGCACATTTGCTTGTATAGTTCCTATTTTCATCTGTGTCAAGGGACACGAACCAAGAGCAAACATGGATCCTGTTTGGGCCACATGTATAGCATGTGTCCTGGAACACTGCAGCACCAGGTACCACCTTCCCCTTGTGCTTTATCAAGAGCAGCTTCAATAATTCACTAGTGGATGGAAATACATAGAGGATATTTTTTTCTGTAACTGCATCTAGTCCTAGAAAATTCCTGCAACTATTTAGGGAGTTTGAAATAGAAATGTCCCTATCCTCCACATATGCTAAGTAGCAGAAAAAGAGGAAAACCGGGAAAACCATGCTGCAATTCAAGCTCCCTCAGAACTTGTGTGGCTTCCTGTGACAGTCTGTTAATCTCTCTTTTAGTCTCTTCCTCCACCTCTTACAGGCTTCTATCTTCAATCTCCTTTCCTTCCTTGCTAGTTCATACTGTAACTGACGATGGGTTTTCTTCTCGACTGGCTTCATTTTTGCTGTTCTTCCAGGAGAAAAATCTATTACCTGCACCGCCGGTACAAGTTCATGAATAGGTGAGTATTCATATTCCACTGCAGTTTGTAGTAATTTGGACCTGACATCCAAAATATTGGTTCAGTTCAAGCTGGCAAAAAAAGTATTAACAGAAATGCTAGTTTATAAGCTATGTTTGTGGAAGAGGTGAATAGAGTGATTGCACACTAGGATGTTTGTAAATGCAGCCGTTACATTTTCAAGGAATCTGCCGTGTGAAAGAAGTTTTTTTTTTAAAAAAAAAAAAAAAAGAACAAAGACATATTTTTCAAATACCTGGAGCCTCTTAAAGATGAGTAACTGTATTCACCTGTATTCACTTATTCTCAGTGCAGTGCAAACATTGCACATCTTTCTTTTAATGTAGCTCATTAGGGAGGTTTTCAGGGTTAAAATACAACTGTTATTGCTTTTTTTTTTCTTTTTGTCTCTTTTTTTTCTTTGTTGGTTCCATGCACCTTGCTTACTTGTAGTACTGATGGCATTATTCATTTATCGCTTCCTCTGTGAGGATGCTTTGTACTCTGTTGGTAGAGTTCAAGCAATGAACCAAATTCATTTCTGGTATGATCTATTTAAATCAACTTGAAAGATGAATATTTTTCAAGAATCTTTGAAGTGCTTTCACTCAATTATTAGATAACTTAAGGCTGTGTTTGATGACTGGTTTTTATGCAACTTAATGCGAGGAAAAACTTTCAGTGTCCACAGTTCACTTTTTTTGGAGGGTGATACATTGACAATTTAAATAAAATGTTTCCAAAAATCTTAAAAAATGTACAGCCTTAGCAAAGACCAGATCATGTTTTGGTATTTATTAGCACGTGTTGTTAATGCAATTTTCTGTAAGGTCTAGCTGTGGTTTACTCCATTTCTCTGAAGTCAAGTGTTAAAGCTCCCATGAGTGCCTGTAAGAGAAGAATTAGTTCTGAGAAAGCTCCACTTTGGATTAAATAGCTGTATTACACTGCAGATATTGTCAGCAGGTGGACATCCATGGAAAAATAAATTATATATTCAACTCTACAGCATTAGGATATATTAAAAGCACATCAGCATACCTTATAAGCACACACAGCTCTGAAGTCTGTGTTGCCCCACCTGCTGTCCCCACTGTCCACTAAATTTTGTAGCACATGTTAAATTTGGAGATTGTCTTGAATTTAATTAAGGCATAACCATTTTAACTACAGCTATAGATTAAATGTAACAAGCAAGGGAAGATTCTAATATTTGTATGTGATATATGAGATTTTGCTTTTATGCTATTTTTCTAATGAGTCAGTTTGCAATTTGAAGTCAATATGGGAAGACATATTATCTTCTTGCAGTAGCTTGGTTCCTGAGTGATGACAATACTTGTCTAAATCCAATTTCCCTATTCATCTCTATAAATAGCTACTTGAGGTGAATAAAACAAATATGTGTGTGTGTGGGAAAACACGTTCATCTTTATTTTCATTTATGTAAAAATCAAGTATATAGCATCAGTAAAGACTCTACCCCCTCTACTCCTGCTTCAGTGAAGATTTGTAATAATTGAAGTGTTGGACTATTTTTTAAGATAATCTAAAAAACTATTTTGACATTTGGGCAAAATTCATTTTATAAAAGCCTTTTTACAGGACAGAGACCAGAGTAGGTCATTTGTAGTATGTCAGACTGCCTTGAATTTTACCTCAGAAAAAATTCAGTGATTCCAGAAGTAACAAAACTCAACCAAATATATTCTTTTAAAAAATAAGGGTGTCAGGTACTGATACAGTACCTAGAACTGCATTTAAAATGCAGTAAAAATGAAATTAGGACATATCTAGCACTACACAATCTTTAAAGCTCTGTGGCCTCTTAGCCAGAGACAAAAATCAATTGTAATTAAAAGCAAATCCTTTTATTTTCCCAAAGTGCTATTTCCTTCAGGAAAAGTATTGTACCCCCACCCAACTTTCTATTGAGGAGACTGTGTTTGCTTGGAATGACTTGAGAAGCCTTTGAGAGAGTTAAACACAAAACTTGTTTTGGGGAGGAGGATGCTAAGGAAAGGCTAGACACAGAGGCCAGGCCAGGATTGAATCAGAAGGCTTTTATCTTGGAAGTGTTATGTGAATTAAGATGATTTCTTATAGAATAAGGTTTCAAGTCTTTACAAAAAAAGGGATTGCAGACAGAGATGCTTGTCATTTCTTCCACTCCCCTCTTTCACTGCGGCTAATACTGTGGAGACTGTATAGCTCCATGCTTTGCATGGGATTTGTGCATCTCGCTCCACTTTCCAGTTGGAAAGTTGCATTATGGGAGGTTCAGGTTAGATATTAGGAAAAAATTCTATGTGGAAAGAGTGGCGAGGCATTGGAAGAGGCTGTCCAAGGAAGTGGTGGAGTCACCATCCCTGGCAGTATTCAAGAAACATGTAGATGAGGCACATGGACATGGTTTAGCAGGCATGGTGGTGATGGCTTTGCAGTTGAACTTGATGATCTTGAAGGTCTTTTCCAACCATAATGATTCTAGACACCTGCATGGTTCCAGAGCATTGATCTTGAGCACAGGCAGTCAACATCTTAGGCAGTGGGGGGTGGGCACCCTGAGCCCTAACAACCTGTGCTTAAATTCCATGCCTGTGGCTGCGATTTAAGCACAGGTTTGAGCCCGGAGCACATCTGGAGTTAGCATGTGCTCCAAGTACACCTTCACCCCACCTGGAGCTCAGGTTGTGCTAAACAGCCTGCCCTTTGCTGTGGAGAGCCCCAGCACGGAGAGACCAACAGAGCAGTGATGAGGTTGCACGTGCTTGTCATCACCATCACATGCCAGTTCTGCACAATCCAAAACAACCTCTTGGATTGGCTCAAAAAGCTACTTTAACGCAAGCAACTAAGTTCTTCCTGGAGGAAAAACATTTTTACTGTAATGCTTTTCCAGTGCCTGTTAGTTTTCCATGTGGCATGTAGTGAGAGAAGCCAGGCTTTTATGTACCCTGCTCATATGGCATGGCTTAGCTTTTTGAGAGAGATATGCGCACACGGACTAAAATTTCTGTAGTGCTGGCTGATGGAAGTGTTGGAGCGGCCTAGAGGCATCTTAAGAGTTTGATATTTTTCCTTTCACAAGGAAATTATATCCATTATTTCCTAGAGATGGTTTTACTGTATTGCAAGGTCTAGCCCTTGCAACCTCTGCAGACCGTGTGCGCCAGCAGGGAAGGAATAGGCTTGCCAAGTGGGCCAAGTAATCCGAACCCTGGGAATAATGAGCCAGGCAAATTCTGGGTACGCTCCGTGTGAAGTCGGCATGAATAAAACATTGTTCTTAAGTGGGGAAAGCACTCGGCATGCGTGTGCACGCGGCGATAAACCAGCAGCAGAGCTATCTCAAACGTGCACATTGACTTGCCAGATGAATGAGAAAGAGCTGCAAAGTAGCCAGTTTGTAGATTAGAGAATCCCAGCGATTATAGTCAACAAATGAATGTGCAGCAGGGTACTTCGTAAACACTTCTGCCTGCTTCCTCTTCCCTTGTCCTAGCCCAGAATACTAAGCAGAATAAATAGAGCCTGGTGGTCTTTGCAGAGGAAAACCTGGAGGCCAAGAAGAGAGAATCCCTCCAGAGAGAAACCTTTTTCCCTTTGTCATTTCTATCAGTTCTGCCAGACAGTCCTGCTCCCATGTTATTCATGGAAACAAAACACAGAAACGGTATCGAAATGGTAGGGCTAATTTGGATACAATTTTGGAATAAATGTCAGTGTTTAACAATTAGCATTAGTTTGCATATTCAGTATAAAAATATCTGAAAGAAGATTCAATACTCTGGGATATTTGTATATGTATTTTAAATGGAATTACATAATAATTTCATGTCATATTCCCACTCACTGCTGTTTGGGTATGGATCTCTCTTCTGTAAAATTTACTGGAGTCAGAGTTATTGGGTTGACTTTTATTTAAATAAAAGAAATAACTATATTCCGAGTCCTTGGACTTTGCTCTGAACTGGACTTCAACTTCAAAGGATATTGGTTCTTGCCTTTTACCTCCAGCACTAGAAAGAGTCACCCAAGGATTGAGCTATATTCATATAGTCCATAATTCGTAGCTTCTGATTTTGCAGGCAGAGATTAATGATGAGGACTTGAAGGTGTTACGTACTTTCGAGGGAGTAAACTCATTTTTCTAAACATCTCTAGAAAGATCATTGTTCTATTTTATGTTTTTCATGATGGCATTTTAAGTTGGATTTGTTTCAGATTCTGAATTCAGAATTCAGATTCATTTTCAGATGAAAGAGCAATTCAGATTGTTCTTTCATAAAGCAAAACCTTAGTTTGCTTTCACCTTCTAAACACAAGAATCAGTGCATCTGTTATCTGTTAAACTATGCATTCAGTATTCATGTTTTCTGGAGCTATTTCATGAAGTATTGCAAGAGAGTGAAATTGAAACAAATGAACAAAGTAGCTTATTTTTATAGCATCAGTTATGAGGTAAGAATGCATACAGAGAGCAGTAAAGGGACACAGCTTGTTGCAGTTCAGCTGCCAAACCCCCATGTCAGAGTCTGTGCTATTCTAATGTTTATACATCCAAAGCGTAATGAACCCATTAAGGCTGAAATTTAGATTACAATAACTGAAAAGCTGGGAAGTGAAAGTTTAGATAGTTGCCAAGAGTTTGCTAAGTTTGAATAAGATTTATAGTGCCATATACCACCAGCATTGCTTTTCTATTAAGACAAAATAAGATCCTTCTCCATAAAACACTGGTTATTAATAATCACATTTAGTATGTATAATTTGGTCTGCCTTGAAAATGTGACTTATCTTTTTTATAGTTGTAAACATTGTGGCCTAAATTGCCTGCATATGTTTTTTGTAATTGCTCTGTAATGTAATTAAAAATAAAGACATTTCTCATGCTCTATCTCAACTGATCACTTTTCATGCAGGATCGAGAAACAAATAAGCAGGTTTCGAGGATGGTTACCTAGAAAGCCAATGAAATTGGACAAGGAGACACTGCCAGACCTGGAGGAAAATGACTGCTACACTGCCCCATTCAGCCAACAAAGGATCCATCAGTGAGTATTTTATTACATCCTAATTCCAAGATGAAAAATTTTCCTATTGGATTCACCTTGAAAAAACATCCAATTGTTTATTGAACATTCAGAGATTAGCGCCTTCAAGGTAGTTCTTTGCCACACAGAGGGAGAGGCAAAAAGACCTGAGAGAGCATAGGGCCTGATTACATTTCTAATAATTAAACACCCGGCCCAAAGTCAAAAGAAATTGATGGAAATTTTCCCTTTGATTTACTTCAATTTCAGCTGCATCTGTAAAGGAGTCAAACTGATTAATTCCCTTTTGTGTCAGAATTGTAGTTGTTCTTTGTCTGTTACAAAGGTACAAAACCAGCCAGGAGGTAAATAATATTACTATAATCAAAGTTTCTCCTTCTTACATTGATGATTGAAAAAAAACTGATATTGGGTCTTACTCCCAGTTGTGACTATACAACAAACAGACCTCTAAAAGAGAGGAAACTGTTGTTTTGTTTCTATTTACTGCCTTTTATAGAAGCAAAACTGCTTTCAAAATGTCAGTGCCCAGGCTCACCAGTTACGCTTGTACAAATGGACGAGTGTTGCACAAATGTCACTAGAGAAATCATTTGACTACTGGAAATGTTCATTAGCTTACAAAACATAAAACAGGAAAGAGTTCCGCTTGACTTTCAGATCTCATGTTGATTTTTCAGAGCCATCAAATACTGGGGAGAAAAGGAGTCCTTTTTGGGTAATTATAATTTTTGCAATATCAGATACAATCATGGACTACTCAAGAGGAAGATCACAAAGAACAAACAGCACTGACTAAGGTGCTAACACTCATCTGGTACAGAGTAAATTGCAGTCAACTCAAAGACTAAAGATGTGGAACATGTGATTCTGTTCAGGGAGAAGCCAAGTTTAGGTAATGGTCTTAAATGCTTCACTTTGAATGAACATTTCTGGGGGGAATGGATTTATTTACCACAATATGAATGTGTAAGTTTGACCTACTCTGACACAAATAGTGTCTTTCCAAATACAGAAAAAAAATAAAACAAAAATAGGCACAAATCTCCAGGGAAATGTCAATAGATGCCATTTTCTAATGCTGGAAACAGCCAGGGATACCTCTAGTTAAAGTGGCTATGCCCTACGCAGACATCAGGTTTGAACTACAGAGTCTTCTGACACTTGAATGTAAAGATGAGCCAGTTGCTGCACCTTGCAAGAGTCAGAATGTGTGCAAATTAGTTTAGGACTGGATCAGCAGTAAAGAAAATTAAGAAATGTATGAATTGATACTTTTAGTGATTACAGTAATGATTGAATTATCTTAAAATCATTGCACTCAGGAAAGGTTTAAAGGTGTCTGAAAGGCAAATTAGCATAAATGAAGAAGAAATTTTTTTGGAATTTTTTTTCATTCTTTTCTGTCTTGCTCATATGTGAGTTGGCCAGCCACTATTTTTTTATTATTATTATTAACTACTGGCTTAGGTTCATGAACATTCCCGCTGCTGTTTTGCATTCCTTTATATCACTGTGCACTTTGAAGCTGTGCTCTGACATCCCTCTGCTTGGCTTTCTCTTTAGCTTCTCATTCCTTTGGTGGGCACTGGATATGAGGCTGCCTGAGATACTCTCCTTCCCCCAAAGCTGTTGGCTCTGACAGAGCTCCTGTGTTCCCTCATGTTGCAGCTAGCTGGCTGTGTTTTTCATGTCCTCTGTGACCATGGGCATTTTGCAATATAATGACTTTTTCAATATTCGTTTACTGAATTGCATACACATTTTAAATTGTTCCGAGTATTTCGAGGCCTGTTGGTAAACAGAGTACTTCCATAATGGCCTTAGTATATGTTAATCTTTGGTCATGGCATGCAAGTATTGAACTGGAAATGCAGAGGTAAAAAGCATGGTTTTGTTAGTATTGGTTAACAGTCAAGAAGGATATACTGTTTGGGGTCACTTTTTACAACCAATGTATGTACATCACATAACCATTCTTTTCTCTTTTTAACAGAAAAAGAAAGAGTTAGTATTTAAATATAAAAATATATTTTAAAAAAAGGTTTAAATTTCTAACCTAGACATCCACTATTTTAGGAATGTGAAGACAAATAGTTATGGAAGTTCTTGAGCTGCAGACTTGAAAAATTGCCATCTACAATAATGTGACAATAATTTACCACCATTTTTCTTCTGTGGTAGGAAGAGTTAGTGTATTTTCATCTTTGCTATAATTAAATGAAAACAAGCAGGTTTTGGTGGAGTACTCTTACTGTAGCATATTGTCATTACCAGTACATTCTGCTGCAGCATAAGAATGGAGTCTACATTAGTGTCATGGCGGGGCTGAATGTGGAAAACACATGGCCCTCAACAGGTACATCGCCCTGTAGTCTGGAATAACAGCCATGGTCCCACTCTTCTCTTGGCAAGCATCCTTTTCCATTTTGCACACGCAGGGAGGTTGGACTAGATGATCTCTAGAGGTCCCTTCCAACCCTAAGCATTCTATGATTCTATGATTCTATGATACTTTTAGTGATTACAGTAATGATTGAATTATCTTAAAATCATTGCACTCAGGAAAGGTTTAAAGGTGTCTGAAAGGCAAATTAGCATAAATGAAGAAGAAATTTTTTTGGAATTTTTTTTCATTCTTTTCTGTCTTGCTCATATGTGAGTTGGACAGCCACTATTTTTTTATTATTATTATTAACTACTGGCTTAGGTTCCTGAACATTCCCGCTGCTGTTTTGCATTCCTTTATATCACTGTGCGCTTTGAAGCTGTGCTCTGACATCCCTCTGCTTGGCTTTCTCTTTAGCTTCTCATTCCTTTGGTGGGCACTGGATATGAGGCTGGCTGAGATACTCTCCTTCCCCCAAAGCTGTTGGCTCTGACAGAGCTCCTGTGTTCCCTCATGTTGCAGCTAGCTGGCTGTGTTTTTCATGTCCTCTGTGACCATGGGCATTTTGCAATATAATGACTTTTTCAATATTCGTTTACTGAATTGCATACACATTTTAAATTGTTCCGAGTATTTCGAGGCCTGTTGGTAAACAGAGTACTTCCATAATGGCCTTAGTATATGTTAATCTTTGGTCATGGCATGCAAGTATTGAACTGGAAATGCAGAGGTAAAAAGCATGGTTTTGTTAGTATTGGTTAACAGTCAAGAAGGATATACTGTTTGGGGTCACTTTTTACAACCAATGTATGTACATCACATAACCATTCTTTTCTCTTTTTAACAGAAAAAGAAAGAGTTAGTATTTAAATATAAAAATATATTTTAAAAAAAGGTTTAAATTTCTAACCTAGACATCCACTATTTTAGGAATGTGAAGACAAATAGTTATGGAAGTTCTTGAGCTGCAGACTTGAAAAATTGCCATCTACAATAATGTGACAATAATTTACCACCATTTTTCTTCTGTGGTAGGAAGAGTTAGTGTATTTTCATATTTGCTATAATTAAATGAAAACAAGCAGGTTTTGGTGGAGTACTCTTACTGTAGCATGTTGTCATTACCAGTACATTCTGCTGCAGCATAAGAATGGAATCTACATTAGTGTCATGGTGGGACTGAATGTGGAAAACACATGCCCCTCAACAGGTACATCCATCGTAGTACATCCATCCTGTAGTCTGGAATAACAGCTGTGGTCCCACTTTTCTCTTGGCAAGCATCCTTTTCCATT